GTCCAGTTTCACACATAATAATCAAGGGTGTTTCAATCAGGGGAGTTAGGTGGCCAGACATAAGGGGTGATATGGTCGCAGGAATTGTCAGACAGCTATGACTGGATTCTCCTGCTTGTGCGACATGGTGCAGAGTCCTGTTGCCAGACATAAGATCTCCCAACAGCCACCCTCTTGATACAGATCAGCACTCCTCAAGGCACGATGTAGGCCCTCGTGTTGAGTCTGAGGACCTGTGGGAAGATGAATGGAGGCATAACGTCACCATCACAAGTGATCACTCTAAACAGCATGATGTCGACTGGATATATCATCCAGCTCTTTCCGAATCCTCTAACACTCTGAAATGTTCGTATTGGAGCTTCCGGTGCGAATGACAAGCAGTAGAGCTTGTTGGCGGAGTGAATTGCGTCATGGTGACCTTTTTTCTCACAGACGGCGCCCAACTGATCCTACTATACTATGCAGTCGACAAAATAAAAAACAATGCGCATGCCCGTAATTGAAATATATGCATACATATATATATTAAAACATAAATATATATATATATATATATATATATATATATATATATATATACACATACATATATATATATATATATATATATATATATATATATATATACATATATATAGCACACATATATAGACATACATGTATATATTTATACATACATATATATATATATATATTTGCATATACACATTCTTACATATATATAAACACACATATATATATATGCATACATGCATACATATATATACACATACATATATATATAAACACACATACATATATATATATATGCATACATATATACACACACACACACACACACACATATATATATATATATATATATATATATATATATATATATATATATACACTGAAAATCGTTCAGTACATAAGTTTAGTGTTTTTCACTTCACAAATAAAAAAATAATTTTTGAATAAACGCAATAATTTTTTCTTAGATAAAAAAGATCCTGAAGATGATATTTTGCCAATGTCGAAAGTACTCGGAATAAATGCATATGCATCAATATAGTAACTTTCTTTCTTCCTTTAATAACGGTCCTAAGATGTTTGTCCGTGAATATGAGTATGAGGACCTGTGGGAAGATGAATTAAAATAAGTAGATAAAACTTATCTAAATTATTTAATGAGACTTGTCTTATGGAAACCATATATTGCTTAGAAGCTGTATATAATCTAAATAATTTTCTTAGCAGAGAAAGTTCTTATTGTTTCGTTTTAGGAAAGCCTAATAGTTGTTGTAAGACAGCTGGTCAGTTAAATAGACAGGTAAGTGCTTTCTACTTGGCATATCAGCATATATTTCTTATTGTTTTAGGTAACTAAATATCAATATATTTTGACTTATTTGAGTTATTTGAACTGAGGATGGTCATAATACAAGCTAAGTACTAGCTGAAACGTTGTGTCTAAATAACATCAATAGCAATCAAAGATGAGAATAATATTTCGAATAAATCACAATCTTCTTATTCCTATTTCTTGCCCATTTGTCTTTGTGTTGTACGAAGTAAATATGGTCACATTGTTATTCTAGGTAAAATCAAGCTGTCCATCTCTTTCTAACACTTTTCCCCTTTTCAATATTATCTGATTTTTTTCTGATTATCAATTCGGGACATTATCTTCCTCTTGCCATAATCCTTCCGTTTTCATTGGGATTTTTCAATAAAAAAATCTCGTCGCGTGTGGACAAATAAAGCTGATTCTAACAAGTCTTTCATTAGAATCATTAAAGGTTGTGATGGATTTTATCGAAACTATATCGATTACTGGATGATCCGAACATTTCTCTAGCTTTAAATCACTTGCTCTTCTTATTGGAGAATTGGAAGGCAAGAGTACCACTGATCATTTCATCGTACACAGGATAATGACATTTATGAAAAAACGAAAATACTAAATAGTTTTCTCCAGTATTAAAAAATTGGCTTAACGACAACACCACCAACGCCGATAATAATAATGATACAAGTGGACACTGTACTTGTAATTCACTAAGCCTAGTTTGGTACAAGGACACAAGTATAGAGTAGCCAGTGACGATCAAACTCACGACTCAGAAATAAGCATCATCCAAGCTACCTCGCTAATCATAACCCAGCTTTAGTTATTTACGAAGCCTAGTTTAATTTTGGCACAAGGTTGTCACTTAGTGAGACTGGAAGTCACTACTCATTAACTATGATCCGTGACACCAACCGAGAGGCCCTGATTGATACTGTTGTTTGGTGCAAGGCCACAAGTATAGTGTACCCGGTGAGGATCGAACTCACTACTCAGCGATGGCTATGTTGACTCCTTTGGGAGGTTAAGTGGCAGTAAAACATCTCAGTGATCTAGCACATCTCGTGAAAAGTATCGTAGTCTTTTGTAAGTTTTTTTTTTTTTATCAATTTGCCCTAAGCAAGGCGATAATGCTACTAAGACGCAATGGGCTACTGGGAGTGAAAGAAAATGAAAAGATTTTATGACCCAATCCTAAACATGGATAAACCTCTACTCCTGTTCAAAAGAACGGAGATGAGTGTGAAGCGGACAATAGGCGAACATATCTACTCCTATTAAGAAAAAAGTAAACAAAAAAAATAATAAATATTTAGTAAATAAAATTCAGATGTTTTAGGCGGAGATGTTTGAAGTCTGAGTTTACTTTAGAAGGAGCCGGAAACCCAATCCTAAACAGGCTACAATGGATAAACCTTTACTCCTGTTCAAAAGACTGAGGAGGAGAAGGAATAGGGCGATAGTTTTTCAGTAACGCAATTCATCATTAGTGCGATCGACATTAGAGCATTTCTCAAACGATGTCTTTAATATTATTATTTTGAAAAATACAAAAAATAAACGGCATCTTTGTAAATTCACTAATTTTGAATATTTTTTCTCGTAAGTTAATATCACAAAAAGAAAAATGCTTTCTAATTTCGCAACATTTGCATTGAAGCACACTTTTTGCTAATCATTTTCGGTTGTGTTATGTGAAATTGAAATTCTTTCGTTTAAAAAAATAAAAATAAACAAAGATTCCTTAAAACAATGATAGATGATGGTCAGGAGACGTTTTGATTGAAGCAATGTGAAAGTTAACTAAAAAAATGTGTGTCAAGTTTGAATAACTAAATACTCATTCCAATGTCTGTTTATTGCTTGGAGAATGAAGGAATTCCATTTCTGCGTGACCCAACAAAATCGAGTGGAGCCATTTTAAATAGTTAAGACGTGCTGTCAAATTTCCAGACGATTGTTTTCAATTCTGGACAAGTCAGATCTAATCAACATATCAAGTTTGTTTTAGGGCAATCGAGCGAGCTCATAGTTTTTCTTTAGTGCGTGTGTGTATGTATACGTGTGTGTATACGTGCGTGTGTGAGAGAGAGAGAGAGAGAGAGAGAAAGTGAAAGCGTGTATGAATCTGTGCGTATCTGTATTAAGGCAAGAAATATCATAAAGTAATTTTACTTCGATCATGACTAACGATATTAATAAGAAGCAAAATATCTAATAATCATAGAATACATAACAAATATAATAAGAATTATTGCCATCATCACCATTATTATTATTATTATTATTATTATTATCATTATGAAAGAGGAAGAAGGATAATGACTACAACAGTAACAATTATACTGGATGCTATTAGTATGCGATCATGATTCTCTACAACTTCCTATCTTTTGTAACACTTACGCACAACTCAAATCGTAAGGTTATCTCTCATTCAGTTAAGATCTGAATCGAATATTCTGTTCCTTTTTAATTATTACTATTACTATTATGATTATTAATATTATTATTATTATTAGTAGTAGTAGTAGTTAGGAAATTACATCATCGACATAAACATAAGCATTTATACATGTTGAAAGAAGAGTATATAGTCTCATGTTAAAAATGTCTGATGGCGATCAAGTGATAGCAATTTTCCAACGAACACTTTTCCTGGTTATATCTGCCATGATCTGTCGGAGAGCATTTCGTATTTACCTTTGACTTAATAGAGTTTCTGTCTGCTTGAGATGATTTCAAAAATGTGTTAAGTATTTCAGTTTTTAAACTATCAATTCGTTATTTTGATTGTTGTTTTAATTAGCAACCATAATATTAATTGCATTCATCAAGGTTTCACTCACACCACGAATAACTGGTGGATCTCACTGGATATTATATGAAAACGAGTTTCATCAACGTTTTCCCCAATATTCTGAATGCTATTGTCTGGATGATTTAAATCTGGATTTCTATTACTTCCAACCGCTTTACAAGCCGTTTCCTGACTCTTCCAAGTACTCCTTTGATGATGAACACAAGTTTAACTCTTATGTTCCGCAATTTTTTCAATTCTCTCACAATCACGATTGTTGTTGTTGTTGTTGTTACAAAATCATGAATAAGTATAACCGAGAAACTGAGTCGAATGAAAATTACTAATTGAAAATAAATATATTTTCTTGGGTTGAAAAAATATTTCGTGAGCCGCATAAAAAAACAACACTCGGTTTGCTTTCTAAATCTAGCAATCAACTGAATTCTTTAAAAAATAATTTGATTGCTATATATAGAAAGTAAAATGGGTGAGATTCTCGTTTTAACATATAGTGATTTACTGTTGCCAAGGCCGAAAGTATGGAGTACCTAGTGAGTATCGAACTCACTACTCAGTAGTAATTGATAGGACGAGACAAGCATACTAACAATTCGAAGAGGTCGAAGTGCTCTCTCGTTTTAATATATGAGAAGCAACAGAATTAAATACAAAGCAATTTCAACCACCAAGATATTTTACAATAAAAAGAGAGAAAAAAAAATTAAAGATGGAGTTTTATTTCTGTTTATCATTTTGTTTGTTCCTTGGCGACTCATTTGAATAAACGTCTCTTTCTTGGACTCAGAAGGGATAAATTACTTATTGCCCGCAAATATGAAATCGTATATCAGTCCAATTAAGTACAATAGCGATAATTGGAGAATACAAAGAAAGAAAAAAGAAAGAAAGAAAGAAAGAAAGAAAGAAAGAAAGAAAGAAAGAATATGAGATACGAAAACAAAACAGAAAGGCAGATTGAAACAGACAAATTAAAATGGAGAAAGAGAAACACCTGAAAGAAAAGAGAGAAAGAAAAATAGAGAGAGAAAGAGAGAGAATAAAAAGAAAATGGAGACAAAACGAAGAATAAATAAAAGAACAATAATCAAGTGATAATAGCGAATAACAGACTTGAGCTGGGGGCCCCGGGGTGTCGGGTAAGTATTAAGTGGCGGACCAAGGAGACGGGTTGGGTATTACAAATTAGATAAATTGAAATGTCAAAAATTGTGGCCCGTGGGCTTGAGGAGAAGAATCCATCTGTCAAAGAATTAGCTTTTCTCTCTTTCATTAGCTCCCTCTTTCTTTCACCTTCTGTGGTCCACCGTTTCTGCTGAGAACCACGGGCAGATTTAATTTGCTCATTCATGCATTCACTATGAACTGTCGTTGGTAGAGTCGGGGGAATAAGGAGGACTTTCTGAGATTGGTGAACAGCGAGAAGATGAGTTGGTCCTATATGAAGCGATTGATGGACAGTTCGAGTTTCGGCTGTGCAAGCCGAGATTCACTCGCACAAATATCATAGCCATTAGCGCAGTAACAGACGTTAAGAGATTGAATGTAATGCTTTCAGTCAAGAGTTCGAACCTTTGCAGGATTTAGATTTAAATTACGTGTCGAATAAAAATATTTCAAATTCAAGCTCCCAAAAATTGACAATGCACCAACAATGAAATTTAATCGAATCCACTGGCGCGCGTGTGTCTGTGTTTTCTGTAATTTACTTAAGGCTGGTTTGCTAGAGGCTTACTTCTTCAATGAGTAATTTGGTATGAACGTATTGTGTTTAAATTAAAGCTGATGAGCTGGCATCTAGACCTTCTAAAGACCTCGTAAATAAATAGCAACCTAAGCTTAACGGTCAGCTTTCTTGTAGAGAAACTAGAGTATACTTTGAAAAAATTCAAGAAAAGTGTTACTCAGTGAATATTTGAAAAAATCGGTCTAAATATGAGAATTTACAACCTGTGAGTATGTCTACTTGATAGTGCATCTTATTGAAAATGAAGGGATATCAATGTTTGTGTGTGGGGGCGGGGTGTAATATTGATAGTGTGATCCTTTAGGAGGTTGGTAAGTGAATACAGAAGCATGCGCTAACTTATATCATTAATAGGCATTTCATGCGACTGAGAATTTCCTTATTAGTAGGTGTCGATTTCACCTCTCCACGTGATAATTAAAACCATCCAGTAATTGCACAATGATTTCGTTTTCATTGCCTTCTATCGTCACTTGATCAAAAGGAACTATCATATCTTTAATTATAGTAAACATAGTGTATATGAGTGAATAAATAAGTTGGTAGGATATTTATATTTGATATTCTTTATGTTTAGTTAAGCTCCATACAATATTGAGCACTTTAACTGAACATTTAACATTAACATTGACTAACTACAAGTATATATATACATTCAATTTTTTTACAAATATATTCACTCTGTACAAGGCCCAAGAGCCACTCAAGGCAGAGGGTTACATAAGGAAAAGGCTTTAGAAGGAACTAGAAACCCAATCCGAAATAGCAAACAATCGATAAACTACTACTCCTGTTTAAAAAAAAAAAAAACGAGGAGGAATTTGAACCAGATATTAGACAACCCTATCTACACCTATTGAGGAAAAAAAGTAAATAGAAAAAAAAGTTCAGAGTTTTAGGCGGAGTCGTTAGAAGTATAGACTTGAAGTAAACTTTAGAGGGAAAGGTAAACCCAATCCTAAACAGTAAACAAGAGATAAATCTCTATTCCTGTTCCAAAAATTGGGAGGTGTGTGAACCGGATGATAGGCAAACCTATCTATTCCTACATATATATATATATATATATATATATATATATATATATATATACACTATCTTTATATTTCCCCAAATATGCCGTCTTTGGTCTGTTAAACAGTGATCGCTGAACAAAAAACATTTCTTCCTGTTTTCGTTAAATTTGAAATATAAAAATGATTTGCTTCCAGAGCCATCTAAATCAAAACAATCTTGTATGTATGAGGGTAAGTAGAGAATTCTGTTCTTTTGTTTTTTGTTTGTTTTTGTTTTTTGTTTGTTTTTTTTTTTTTTTTTTATTCTTTCAAATAAATAAGGTTTTATTTATTTTACAATTTTTATATTTTTTCTAACGTAAATAATTATTTGTTTTTTTACTAATATTTAAAAATACTCATAAGAAAGCTAATTAATCAAAAATATAATCAATAGTAATATAGTAGAATGTAATCGATTGCTGTAAAGAAATTCAACATCAAAAACTATAAAATTGTGCTAATTTAAATCATCTGATGACAAGAGGTTTTCTGAGATTTATCTGCCTATTTTGATAAGTGCATATGTTTAAATCCGGTATTAGAATTAGTTCGTAAGTAATATTAATCAGTAAATGGTTGTTGATTATTAAACGTAGTTTAGTTTTAATACAACATAACAAGGTACCAAATGAGATTCGAACTCACTATTAACGATTTCTAAGTTCAGCGTGATAATCTTCACAACACAATGAAGCATCATTTTAATTTTAAAATAAGGTTTACTTTTGACACACAGGCAATGATATAAACCAGTCAATGATTTATCAGTAATGATCTGCGATATTGGATCGCTCAACATTAGACCACGTTGAGGAAGACCTAGTTTTGGAATATCCACAAGTACGGGGCACCCAGTGAGGATTGAACTCACTACTAATGATCGAGCCTGCTGACTATTAAACCACGAGGAAGCGCCCAGCAACAAACAGAAAGCTTTTTGACATTATGTTTGTGAGGGTCTGTGTTACAAAAATATCAGTATTGATGTGATTATATTTATCTTCTTTTATCTCCCAATTAATAATAACTTAACTCTATCTTCATTATTATATGTAAAACTTCTAACTACAATCATTTCACGATTGAAAGTTTATGGGTTGAATTTTACGATGAGACATGGGAAACGTTAAGTAATTTAATAGATAAACATACTGATCAATCTATTTAAAATACTTCGAATTTGAGGGTAACATCTACTAAATACTGGCACATTCGTGTAGATAGATAGATAGATAGATAGATAGATAGATAGATAGATAGATAAATAGATAGATAGCCAACCAATGAAATGTTGAATGGGAAAATTACAAAGAATTAGGGATATAATTTGATCTTGGAGTATCTCAGAAGTGCTAAAAGTATTTCTGCGTTATTTTAACAATACTAATTAATTTATTTCTCGCCTTTGTTATCATCGTCAATACTGCAATGAATTGTATCAGTATTTGTGGTATTAAGCTGATTTAATTCTCTTTTATTTATATTATATTCTTATTACGACTTCATTATTTGTTTGTTTACGGCAATGAAACATACACGCCAAAAAAAAAAAAAAATTTAAAACTGAACAAAAAAAAAAGAAAGTCGGAAACGTTCTCTTTTTGAGATGCTGTGAGCGCCCTTCGATTTATGAAGACCGGCCATGTTCTAAGATCCCCTCATGACGCCACTTGTAAAAACGTGTTCTGGCGAAGTGTCTCTCCTTGGTGCCTAAAACTTTGCCGATAGCTGAGAAAAGCAGACACCCAATGCTAACTGAATAAAAGAAATATGTCATTCATCTGCCCAAGCAAGGAAAAAAATTAACAATTTTATTTTTTCATTGACGGGTTCCGTTACTTCGCCTTCACGTTCCTTTCAAAAGTAAAATAAAAATTATATCTGTACACATGTACAGTTTCTTAAAAAAAAAAAAAAAAGAAAAAAAAAAATGAATATTTCTATAAAACTGCTATTCACTTGTTTAATCCGCCCTCAGTGAAATATTTTTTTTCATATAAATGAAATACTTGAGCACTGTAAATCCCAAAATATGAAGTGTTATTTTATACTATTTTTGAGATACTTACAGAATAATTTTTTTAAAACAATCATCATCATCACCTTCATCATCATTATCATCATCATCATCATTATTATTATTATTATTTGTAGTAATAGTAGTCATAATTGTTTTTTGTATCTCTTTGTGGCAATGATTTCCCTATCAGATTCTCTTCTATTTTTCTCATCAATCCTCGTCATCTTATTTATGCTCGATGCTTTTATTGTTGTTCATTATTATAATATTATTATTTTTATTATAATTGAAATGATTAACATTATTACTACTACTACTACTACTATTACTACTACTACCGCTAAAATTTTATTTAAGTCCTTACTATAATTAAGTTTTTTGCGTGATTTTTTTAAATATATGAATAAATCGCCAATGCAATGGAGATAACTCTAGCACAGCAAAAAGTTACAGACGTTATACACAAAAAGACTGAATGTACAATATTTTGAGATCATTATCATTATTATTATTATTACAAATTAATAATAGTAATAGCTTTATTAATACTAAACCTTTGTCTTTCTGTTTCAGTTAGCATTTGTTTTTCATTAATAATATATTAATAAGTTTTAATTTGTTTGAAACTTTTTAAATATTCAAATTTACGAAAAATATTAAAATAATAATAATAATAATAATAATAATAATAATAATAATAATAATAATAATAATTCGTATTTTGAGTGTATAAATGCTGGTGTTAAGTGATATTTAACATATACAGTGTTTATATTTGTCTTACATATATAATACTCTCCTGAGTATAAGAGCAGTTCCATACATTGCAATTTTTAGTTTATTGGGCTGCCTGAGATTTTGTTAATGCTCATATCTATACCGTTTTTATCATACCCAGGTCTGCAATTATTATAGGTATAACTTTTTAAGTTGCCACATTTTATCAATTTCAAAATTTATACATTTATTTATTTTGTTAAATTCTTTAATAGATCTATTATCTGACGGTATTGTTTTCTACTATAAGGCATTTTTGGTAGTTTTTAATTACAATGTCTGGTGTATTAGTTTTTGCTTTATGTATTATTATTATTATTATTATTATTGTGAATATTATTGTCGTCATCGTTATTATTTTTATTATTGTTCTCATTGTCGTTAAGAATGCTGATTAAATAATGAAAAAAATTTCATATTATTTTGCAACTCTTACTTATATATCTTTGTAGACATAAAAGCATAAAATAAAGGCTCAAACTAGAATGCGACTTCTATTTTTAAGCTGTTTTAGGCAGATATGCAGATTCAATATATTTATTGCTACACATACAAGCACAAATAAGCAGACCCTCGAAAAATAACATTTCCCAGCGTTATCTGAGTCTAATAGCCAAGATACCCAGCAGCCTCCATTTAACAGCATACAAAAATATGCACACAGACACACACACACACACATATATATATATATATATATATATATGTATGTATGTATGTATGCATGTATGTATTGTTCACAACTGACAGTAATATTTAACTAATTTTTCAGTTGTATTCTACCTATCAACTTTTACAACTTTATATTTGGCATCTTCTAGTTTCTGTTCAGTAGTTTTCAATATTAAACTAAGCCAATAGCTTTCTATTCACCACTGTAAAAATTATGGAGTTTTATTTCACTCAAGTTTCAAGAAACGGCTTCTCTATGGGTTCGAGGTTTTAGATGATGTATTACGGAAAAATAATTAGAAGGAAACATTAAATTCCTAAAATGAATTTATATTAAAGAGTTCCTACTCTGAAACATCAATATATATATATATAATATATATATATATATATATATATATATATATATATATATATATATATATATATATATATATATATATATATATATATATATATAGAGAGAGAGAGAGAGAGAGAGAGAGAGAGAGAGAGAGAGAGAGAGGAGTCATGGTGGAGTAATGGATAGCGGCTTGATTGAGGAATCGAGAGCTGAGTTCGAATTTCAGTCGAATCCATTATATCTACTTACGTACTAATACTCTTCTCCTCCCTCCAGCTATGGGTAAATAGCAGGACAGACTGAGTTCTATAGCCTTGGATGGCAAATGGTCTAAGAGAAGGACAACACTGAATTCAAAACCTGCGGAAGGGGACCTTGTGGCACGTAGTACACCAGGTCTATGTATTCGGCCGTTCAAAATGTGTGGATGGTCCTGCACGAAAACCTTCACCACTATAATCAAATCTCATGTGCTGTTGTCGGTTTCCTAGAACTGATCTGCTTGACCTCATACGTCGAATTCGATGGGAGAGTCTATATATATATATATATATATATATATATATATATATATATATATATATATATATATATATATATATTGAAAGAACAATATATATATATATATTGTTCTTTCACGATTCTTCAGTCCTTTCCTTCCTATGTATTCCTTCCTTCCTCCATCTGACCAAATGGCAGAGAAGCAAACAATAGTGAAACTAATGACTAGCATCCATTGTTATCCATTTGAGTCTTATTAAATTAATTTTCGTTATATACTCAGCATGAGCAATATTTATCTGTACAATTAATTGTATTGTGGAATGTTACGTTACAATAAAAAAATCTTGGTAAAAAAATCCAAATAAAGTTAACAGGCAACAAATAAATAATCGCAATATATTACTTGATCTCATTGTTATGGTCACTTTGAGAAGCGTCCATATAACCATAACAACGCAATATCTCATTATCTCAAATAGAGGATGTCAAGAGAGTGGCCAATGGATGAATCTAGTTACATTAAGTTTTATTAAATAGATTATTATTCCATCTTCCCATCCACCATTCCTATATGGAGCTGCAGTGAGTACAAGTCTCGTGAAAAATACTTTATATTCTTCAATACCTACGACGAGTATTTGCCATGGACTCTATGGTTTCAACACCTCAAATATTTCTTTTGGGATTGTTTGCCAATTATTATTCTCGTATTCCACAGTTCGACAATGTTTTAACATTTTTTTTTTTTTAAATTCAATTTCACTCTGTGGTTTGATGGAACAGCTGCATGAACGACTTTGAAGATTTTTTTTTCTCTTTCTTCACAAAAAACAGATCCGGTTCCATTGCTTGAATGGAATGGTCTTTCTCAATTTCAAAGCTAAAAATATTCTTTTAATTTATTTGTAAATATTTTTACTTATACAATTTTCTTTACACAATCAAAAACAAATTACTTGCACGTTTCATTATAAGTCCCTTCTTCTTCTTCATTATTATTTTTTTTATTATTATTATTGCCGTTGTTGTTGGAGTTCGCATTTAAGTTCTCGCTATTATGGGATTAAAAGTGAAGTTATTGTAACCTGTTTATTAAAACAAAACCGTATTACTCAATAATATAGTTTTTCTTATTTCTTTGATTTTTTTGTTATTGTGATTGTCTCCTACACCAACTGTTTATTGTATAACTTGGTGTAAACAGGTGTGTCTAAGAGAAAGGGTACAGTAAGTTATTAAAAATGCAGCAAAAGATTAATATGTTCCTATGCCTGTAATAAACTCTACAAAATAAACAAATTCACATTCCTTTATGTGTAGGGGAGGGGTGTAAAAATAGATGAGAATCCAACGGATATATATTTTTCCATACGATGGCAGATATTGGTGCTAATGTCATATTTAGAGTCTCTGTAATATCAAACAAAATTTTTAAAATCGTTTATACGAGAGGGTGCTGACATTACTCGGTTTGTTTTGTTTCCCATCACCATAAAATTTGATCAAAAACATAAATTTTCATTCTTTTTTAATAATCCTTTCTTGAAATTTTCAGTACTCCATCGAATTCAGTAGCGTAAAACATTATAAAATGAAAACTTCAGATCGAAATTCGGTCTAATATTTACGCGTCAGTCTGCAGTTTTATTTATACACAAATGTATTAATAATGTTCATTTCATATATATATATATATATATATATGAATGTAATAGACAATCGGAAAATAGTACTTGGTCCTTGCCGACGTGTTTCGTCATTTGACTTTATCAGCGCAAATGATAATAAACAAAAGCGAAATGCTGTGTAGTGACATAAAATTCTAAAAATTTAAAAAGACGTTCCTGTCTAATTGAAATTATTTAATTTCGTGTAACAACATATTTTGCTTTTATTTATCATCACTTGCCTTGATAAAGTCGAACGACAAAAGGTGTCGGCAAATACTAAGTACTATTTTCTGATTGTTTATTTCATTTAATATGTTTTTTTCTATATTCTGAGATCCACACACACACATATATATACAAATATATAAGATAATGTTCATTTTATATATTATATATATATATATATATATATATATATATATATATATATATATATATATATATATATAGAATGGGCGAGTAGTATGATGGAAAGCCTCGTAATGAGAAAACGAAGGCTGATGTCGAATTACTGTCGAATTAGTTACATTAACCTACGCTTTTAATACCATTTCTCTCCCCTATAGGTTAAATAGTAAGAATTATATTTGGAAAATCATTTTTATCTCCCATAAATTGTACATCAGTATTCAATCGCAAAAAATATACTTCGGAATTAAATAACTTACAAAGAGCTGGTAATCAGAATATATATATATATATATATATATATATATATATATATATATATATATATATATATATATAATCGACTTCATATGTATATCGCAGTGTGTAAATATATAAAGATATGTGTGTATGTGCGTGTGTGTGAGAAGATGTGCTAATTACATAACTCTGTGTATTAAGCTCTTCTTTATATATATATATATATATATATATATATATATATATATATATATATATATATATATATACTGTAAATTGAATATTCTATTATTTTAATGTTTACAAATAAAACGCCATGTTTTGTTCTAGAGTGTTTTTAATTCACAGTTTATTTTTAGAGCCCATATAAAGTATTATTAATTTTGTACTAATAAAATATCAAAAAGCACATTGATAGCACATAATCCAAATAATTACCTTTATATATCATTTTTCTTCCCTCCTGATATTTAAAAGAAATCTACAATAACGAAAGACTCTTAACACACTCAGAATAATCTAAGATAATTTGTCTTATTTTTTATTAATAAAGAAATCAATCACAATAAAGGATCTTTTTGGTGTAATTCTAATTCAGTAATCCAATCTGGTCAACATAGAGATAACATTAAAATTCCGTCTGATCAACACTTCGGTCCAGTGTGTGTGTGTGTGTGTGTGTGTGTGTGTGTGTGTGTGTGTGTGTGTTTGTTTAACCCGACCCATGTATCAAACGGACTAATGCCTCCATCAAAAAGAGTAATCATCAAGCTACAATACAAACCACAAAAGTTCGATAGAGGAAAGAAAAAAAGCTACAGAGAGGGAGAAGCTGAAGGGGTAACGTCTCGTCGCCCTGTAGACATGGTACTGAAAGCTGTCCCTACAAGAAATGTTATTTTGCAATGCGACAAAATGCGTGCTCGATAAACTGAGACTATCCATTCATCCATCCATCTTGTCAGTGGGTTTCAGTGAGCACTTATGTAGATGTAGAAGTGCGCATGCGTGCACACATGTTTCTGGCTGTGATGTTATTTCTTCCTCAGTTAATCTTGCTCGTTTAACTTTTCTTTCTTCATCTTATACGTAATTATCTCTCTCTCTCTCTCTCTCCCTCTCTCTCTCTCTCTCTCTCACACACACACACACACACACACATACACGTGTGTGTGCGTGTGCGCGCGTACGACACTCCCAGTACATCTGGTAACATTGAGTACCTTCTTGCTTTCGTTAAAATAATCACTCAGTTCGATAGATAGATATTTTAACATGTTTGTTTGCGTTTCACATATTTTTGTGGTGTGGTAAATTTTAAATATTTTTGGCATGTAGACGTACGTCAATAACTGAACAGAAAAGCGACCCTAAACGACTTCTAAGCAACATTCAAATTAAAAGTACAAATTGAATTAACAATAAAAATCTATAATTTTTATTAATTCAACCATTTTAAAATATCCCCGAGGAAAGAAAAGAAAAGAAATGAAAAGCTAATCGAATAAAAGAAAAGCGATGTGCAGGTAGTATGAGGGGTATCAGCACTGAAAATGAAGTCGATGAGCCGAGTTCAAAATCTAGGCTACACTGTTGCGTTTACTTTCGCACTAATGCTCTTGAAAAACCCATGAATCCATTTCTTTTCCGTCCCCACCCCACCAGCAATTTTTTAAACAGTGTGATCGACTGGGCCCTCCTGCAATCATTTTTAAAGAGAAATTCCGAAATTATGGAAAAGGTAACTGGAAACCACTCCAATTCACAGATAATAAAGAAAAAGAAATTGTAAAATGTCATGATCATCTACATGTTGGCATTAAAAAAAAATCAAATTGTTTTACATAAAAAAATAAAACAAAACGAAGGATTGGATTAAAAACGATAAAATTCCTAAGCAGTAATTTCAAATATCGTCGGGTAGGCTAACATGCACATATACATCATAGACCACCCTGTTTTGCTTTCCAAAATCTGGTCACTTTTCTTTTCGAAGAAAAAGTGAGAAGATGGAGCATATGTTTTACTGACTATCACTTCTTCCTATTTTTTTTTTTTTTTTTACACCAGAGTGGCCGCTGAGTAAATGGGCCATGACGATGCGAGAGAACAAGTTGAAATTTAGATCGCCTCTTGGCCAGCTGTCTCTCGGTCTCTTTTCGCTCTCTCTCTCTCTCTCTGTGTGTGTGTGTGTGTGTGTGTGTGTGTGTGTGTGTGTGTGTGTGTGTTCATGCATGTAGAGAATGGTGTGAAGATGTGAGTCTTTTTACTTGCCCGCTGTGATCTCTTTTACCCGAACCCGCACCTCCCGCGTAAGGTTAACGACTTTTGAAGAGAAACACAGCCGGACCTTTTGATGCCTATTTCGTTAACTTTTTGTTTGTCTGAGCAACACACACTTCATCTACACCCTCCCGACACACACACACACACTATCTATCTATCTATCTATCTATCTATCTATCTATCTATCTATCTATCTATCTGTTTGTCACACACACACGTTCCCTTTTCGTTTATTCCTTTCACAGTCGCAACTTATCTACATTCAAACTCGTGCACATAATGTTCTCTTGCAAATTCGTTTGTTATCAGCATTCTTCCTATTTCATAGTCCCAAGTTAACATGTAATTTTTAGTTTCTATTTTGAAAATTCAATTATTTACAGAGCGATTTATAAATGCAACTCTTTCTTCGTAATCTTTAATATTAAAAATCTTTTTTGGGATACTTATTTAAATTTTACAAAAAAATTATAATTTTATGCTAGTATCAGTGACTTCTTAAATTTGTTAAATATTTAACCTTTATTGGTAAAAAAGATGGAATTAATTCAAAGCTGAATCAACAGTTTTCGTCCGGATATGGACAAGAAACATTCTGTTTTCTGTTCATTCATTCATTTATTAGCTTATCTTTAGTGCAATCATTTACTCGAGACCTAAGTTAAGGTAAGGACAGTACACACACACACACACACACACACGAACATGTGCATCTGTGTGCGTGTGTGTGTGTGTTCTGCTCGCACAAATTCTGATGTTAAGTGGTACTTAAAGTGTAAGCAGTTTATATTTTCTTCACATTGAAAATATTCTCCAAAGCTGATGAACAGTTCCACATAGAACACTATTCTGAATCTCTTGTAAACAGGGTCTGCCAGGGATTTTATGTTCTTGACTCTACCTTTTTTCCTATCGTATCCAAATTTCTACTTTTTTTTCCAATTTCAAGATCCTTATATTTATTTATTTTGTCATTATTTAACATATATTTTTAGTTGGTGGCACTGACATATCTATGAAAAGCATTATTATTATTATTATTATTATTATCATCATCATCATCATCATCATCATTTGTTCTCTGAATTATTACACTCGTCGTATCTGGTGACTTATACGGAAGATCAAGTGACAGTAAGCCCCAGCATCACACTAAATTCGAGCTTTTTATTCTTAACGTTGTTGTTGTTGTTGTTGTCGTTATTGAAAATAAAGGATGAATTGCTCTTTTCACTTTTACCTGATATTTTATTTTACAAGTTTATATCTGCAAAACCCGATGCATTTGAATAGATTTGGATATTGTACCTATTCGAACTTTGCGCTCATTCGAACTTACTCTAATTTTATATCCTAATTCTTATTGTTCAGAGTTTTGTTTTTCTTCCTTAATATCTGACTATGTTGACACATTGAACCGAGTCCACCCCTTCGATCTGGCGCTACGATAAGGGTGCGATGAATTTATTTAATTGATACTGTTCTTTAATAGGTGAGCAGTGCCTCGGACATCTTGCATCTTGAAGTTGCCAGTGATTTTGTTGGTATATTTTTTCCTATCCTTTTTTTGACCAGACCGTGAGTAACTATTTGCTACTGCTACTGTTATGGTTCTCATGTCCCATTTTATATTACAGTTTATAAATTGTTCTATTTTTCACGCTGATTTTAACGATTTAAAAATGATTTCGACATTGGTATTTTCCTAGTCTGAAGTAATAATGACCTCAAATCTTTCTGTCCGCTCTGCTACTCACTGAGCCACACTTTAAGGGATTGTTTTGAGACAAGTATTTAAATATCCTTTTTATACTCGTTAAAGGACAGAACATGATAATGCGAACAATGTATTCCGATGATTCAATTATACAGTAATTTGATCAATCAAGCTAATTATGTTTCTTAATTAAATATCGATCAAAATGTTTCTTTGAATATTATATGGATGAGATGAAAGCAAAAATACTGATCGGTTTTTCTTTTAAAAAATATCTAGTGGAACAAGGTGATGCTTATGTTATTCTGAGTTAAGGAGAATAAAAAAAAACTGGCACAGAAAATATCATATAGATGCGTATTGTGTGTAATTCGCTAAATTGTATTATTTTTATAACATGAACTTTTATAACAATAAATGGATTACATACAATTATAAATGAATTACTGTTTATTTATGCATCCACAAACACACTCTTTTCTAACGCACATACATATATATATATATATATATATATATATATATATATATATATATATATATATATATATATATATGGTGGGAGTAATGGATAGATGTGATAGACATTCAACATCATCACTTGATAAGACACTGGAGGTGTTGAAATAAAATGGCTATTTTTGTAGTGATTTTACAATATATTTATGTTATAATTTTAAAGAAATAATTATATATATATATATATATATATATATATATATATATATATATATATATATATATATATATCACATTACATATATGTTCGTGTTTTAAGGCTATCAATAAGAATCTATATTCATGTTATTGTTTTTGTTTGCGATAACTAGTTAGATACCTCGACGTCAGTTTCATTTTAAAAGAATTGATAATTCGATCTCTGATAACTGATAAAGAATTCAATTTGGGAATTAATAAAAAAAAAATTATCAATATTTCTTGTTATGATTTAATACACTCGACTATATTTCGTTAAATATGTTTTTACAAACATTACCGGCTTGCAAAATAAATTTAGTTACCGAACATAAATTAAAAAACTTAAACCAGATATTGAAATGCTGCTGCTGTTGTTGTATTATTATTATTATTATTATTATTATTATTTTTTTTATTTTCTTTGATTTCTGGCGTTTACACATTTCTTTTTCCGGGTCCCGCCCAGGGACCTAAGGTTAGAAATGGCGTCCTTGACACTTTCCACTGACAAAAAAAAAAAAAAAAGATTACATAGATAAAGCCCTTCGTAAGGTGTGGGCTGTATTTGATTATTATTATTATTATTATTATTCTTCAAAGATCATTTGGAGTTTGAATATATTTAATATTTTGTAGGACCAAGTAAAAACACAAACTCAGTTAAATATAAATTATATAAAAATAATTATAAATTGTATAAAATTATAATAATAATAATAATAATAATAATAATAAATCTTAGCTAAATATAAATTATATAAAATATACAAGTAAAATTTGCCACTCATTTTTAATAGGGTGCAATTTAAAATGTTTATATGAAAATATTTAGGAGGGAAGAATAATTGCCATAAATCTGTCACAAAATGTGAATATTTAAAAGTTGATGAGAATGAAGCGCCAAATGGTTTCAGACATTTTGAATTTTTGCAAAATGATTGTAAAGAGAGGAAGTGAAAAAGGAAAAGTTGTTGCTCACGTAAAAAACGAAGTTTTCCTTAATAACCAGAAACAGCTTTTTCATTCAAAGCTATCTTGCTATTCTTCCTAAACAGCTTTTTCATTCAAAGCTATCTTGCTATTCTTCCTAAACAGCTTTTTCATTCAAAGCTATCTTGCTATTCTTCCTAAAACAGCTTTTTTCATTCAAAGCTATCTTGTTATTCTTCCTAAACAGCTTTTTCATTCAAAGCTATCTTGTTATTCTTCCTAAACAGCTTTTTCATTCAAAGCTATCTTTTTCCTAAACAGCTTTTTCATTCAAAGCTATCTTGCTATTCTTCCTAAACAGCTTTTTCATTCAAAGCTATCTTGCTATTCTTCCTAAACAGCTTTTTCATTCAAAGCTATCTTGTTATTCTTCCTAAACAGCTTTTTTTCATTCAAAGCTATCTTGTTATTCTTCCTAAACAGCTTTTTCATTCAAAGCTATCTTGCTATTCTTCCTAAACAGCTTTTTCATTCAAAGCTATCTTGCTATTCTTCCTAAACAGCTTTTTCATTCAAAGCTATCTTGCTATTCTTCCTAAACAGCTTTTTCATTCAAAGCTATCTTGCTATTCTTCCTAAACAGCT